GATGCCATGCTTTTATGCACACAGCGCAGAGCCGGCGCAAGAAACGAGGACGGCGAAAGGGGGGGGGAGGGAGAGCCCCCCTCCGTTCCAGGAACCCGGCCAGGGCTGGGCAAGGAGGGGAGGGTCCTCGGTGGCACACACACACACACACACACACACACACACACACACACACACACACACACACACACGGCATCTCAGCCGTGCATCGGCTGCCCGAAGACCAGCACGGAGTCGGCGTTCATGCGCTGGAGCTCCCACTCCTCCGGCTGGGAGGCAGTCTCCTCGGTCATCGGGTGCAGGCTGCCGAGGCGCTCGCTGTCAAGCAGCTCCTGGCCCAGAATATCCTCCACCGTGTGGCCGGTCCATCGCAGGGCAGCTTCAACATCGCGCTCGCGCTGGAAAGCATTCGGGACAAATGGAAGCGATGACCGAGCAGGGAGGTAGCGAGATAGAGAGAGAGAGAGAGAGAGAGGGGGTGTGAGAACAAAACAATACGTCGAGCGGCGGAAGGCCAGGCAGGCGAGTGTACGGAAGGGGAACGCACGCCGCTCCACTGGCCACCAACGCTGGCAGCTGCCACATCCACCAGGCAGGCCGACGACACGAGGCGGCCGATGGCCATGGCGAAGGCCTGGGCACGGGCCTCGAAAGTGGGTGACCTACCAAGGGGGAGGAGGAAACAAAGCGAGACAGAGTGAGAGAGAGAGAGAGGGACAGAGGGAGGGACAGAGGAGGGACAGGAGAGGTGAAGCGGAAATGAAAACAGCCAAAGGAGGTTGTCAGCGCATGCATGCATTCTCAGACGGCCACCCTGGCTCAAGGCAGAGCAGAACTCGCTCCCGCCCCTTTGGCAGCAAGGAGAGCACCATGGCACGTACATGGCATGCGATGATAGGTCGCGCAGACGCGAAGCCGACTGACGGCACAGCTGGGCGGCGACGGCCAGGGTGTCGGTCTCCGGGGTGCAGTGGTTGAGGGCACGCTCGGTCAAGCGCTCGACATACTGCTCCAGGGCGGTCATCATCAGGACCGGGACGCCGCCCCGGCGGAGGACGCGCACCACATCGGCCGAGAGCACATCGGCCGTGCCCTCCCAAATGGTGCCGACCTGGGTGTCGCGCAGGTACCGGGCCATGCCGTTGGTCTCAATGTAGCCGGCCCCGCCGAAGGCCTCGACACTGGCCTGGCAGGCCTGGGTCCCGAGCCGGGCCGCGTACATCTTGACCACCGGGGTCAGCAGGCGCAGGACCGCCTCATCGACACGCTGGTCCGGGGACAGGCTGACGGCCGGCCGGCCGTCGCGCATTGGGATCTGCTCCGTGCGCCCGAGCAGGGCAGCCACCTCGAAGACGAAGGCCGACGCCGCCCGGGTGGTAACCTCGTTCCGGGCGAGGGCGCGCGCGTGCGCCGGCAGCCGGGCGATCGGCACCCCGAAGGCCTTGCGCACCTTGCTGAAGCCGATGGCGCGCAGGTGGGCCCGGCGCGAGCTGGCCGCACATTGCATGGCCGTGTAGAGCCGGGTAATGGTCAGCACCGGGGAAATGGAGGCCACGCCGCGGCCTGGGGCGCCAATCTTTGTCCCGGCGATAGGGGGGGGGGGCATTTGTGTTGTCCAGTGGGGCGGTTAGGGAGGTGGGCAGGTGGAGGCACAAGGGAGAGAGAGGGGGGCGGGGGGGGGGGGGGGGGGGCGGAGAGAGGCATGGGGAGGTGTTTTTCTTTTCGGCGGAGCAGCAGCAGGGCCACTGCGGCAAGCGTGGCCCCTGCCCAATGGCGTCGGCCGAGAGGGTGGGCCCGGCGGGACACGAGGAAGGAGGGCAGGGGCAAGGGGAAACCTACCATGCGAGCGCGGGTGCCCGACAGCCGGAGCTCGGCTGTGGGCAGGGCCCGGGTGCCGAGCTTGTCCTTCAGCCGCAGGATACGGATGCCATTCAGCGGGAGGTCATCCTCGTGGTCGATGGTCACCGCAGCCAGGTCGCCCTCCAGGCCGGAGGTACCTTCGATGGCACAGCTGTCGACCGAGGAGAGGCAGGGCCCGGGCGAGTCCCAGGGGGACTGCCCGGGCGAGGTGGCCGCCGGCTTGGCCGAGGTCGGGCACATGGCGCGCACCTCCTCCGAGGCGGGCGTCTCGCTTGGAAGGCGCACCGGCGTCAGGAAGAGGGACAGCCCACGCGAGCCGCGCACCACGTCGCCGGTCTCCGGGTCGCGAGCACGCGCCAGGACCATGGCCACATCGGAATCGGTGGCGCTGCTGAACCACTTGAGCCCGTGCAAGCTCCAAGGAAGTGCTGGAGGGACAGGGGACAGAGGGAGAGGGTCCAAAGTGAGCACCAGCGAACGGCTGACACAGGGACTGCCCGGCAGGAGACCAGCCCAAGTGGTGGAGGTGCAAGGGAGAAATGAAAACCGCACATACCCTCGTGGAGCTGGGACGTGGGCTCGGTGTCCAGCATGGCCTCGGTCTCGGTATTGCCAACATCCGAACCGCCGGGACGCTCGGTCATCCACTGGCCGCTGGTCCAGAAGACGTCCGGATCCCGGGAGGTCAGCCTGGGGAAGATGTGCTCTGGCATGGGCGGAGGGGCAAGAAAAAGGAAGGGACAGACCGCGAGGGCCACGGTCAATACAGGTGCAGCGGCCCACTGCCCGCTCGAGAGCCCGGACAGGCTAAGCAATAACAACAACAACAGCAGCAGCAGCAGCAGCAGCAGCAGCAGCAGCAGCAGCCAACAGCCAGACACGTACTCTTCATGTCATCGTCGCCAAAGAGCTCGATGGCCCGAGCCGCGCCGTCGGTCATGGCCAACGGGCATGCATAGATGGCCGTGTCGGGGCTGAAGAGGAAGAGCTAGCAGCGCGATGGCATCCGGCCACAGGCCGCCGGCGAGAACCATTAGCCGCAGGCTGCAGAATGCCCCATAGGGAAGGGGCCACGGGCAGAGGGAAAAAGGGGGGGAAAAAAAAACACCAGAGCGACGGCCCAACGTACACGAGCCATTTGCAGGACACGGGCCGCGGCGCCCAGGCGCTCCCGGTCCGCGCCGTATGCCACACTGACGATGCCCTCGAGGGAGCTTTGCCGGCGGAGCTCGCGCCATGCCGACGACGTGACGAGCCGGTCCACACGCCGGCCGCGCGCGTCATGCGACATCACATACGGCTCATTGGCCTCGGCGGAGGCACCCAAGCGAGCCAGCGGCCCGATGGCCTTGGTGCCGAGGTGGCAAAGGTTCTCGTAAAACTCGGCCATATGCTTCTCGGGGGTGTGCTGAAAAGATGGATGCATGCGTGAGCGAGCGAGTGAACAAGCGTGTGCGTAGGAGCCCCGAGAAAGGGCACAGACACAGCAGCATCGGTGGAGGGTGGGCAGGAAAAAAAGGAAAAAAGAAAGGCTCCCCGCCACAGTGGCACCGGCGCACCCGACGAATGATGTTTCGCAGGCCGCTGTCCCCGGCGAAGGGGTGATCCACTTGGTAGGCCTCCTGAATGAAGCCGGCCGTGTCCGGATCGAAGCTGTACCCATCGCCATTGACCACGGATCGGGGCTTCTCCACGCCGGCCAGAGACGGATGGAAGCGGTGGTGCAGGACCGAGGCGCGCGAGGACCAGGAAGAGGAGACGGAAGGCCGGAGGCCGCCATCGGCCGGGGTCTCGGCGCTCGTGCCTCCGGTGCTGGTCAACTGGATGATCTGCTGCGGCCGGAAGTGCTCCCAAGGGGTGGACTTTGGCGGGCTGGTGCTCGAATCGCGGGAATACTCCCGGCGGGTGGCCAGCGTCACGGCCAAGGTGACCGGCGGGAGCAGGTGCTTAACTGCGGTGCGCCGTGCGGCAAAGGTCGCGGCAAGCATCATTGACAAGGGGCGAAGAGAAGGCGACGGCCGGGGAGGGGAGGGGGGACGGGCGAGGGGAGGGCGGCGCGCTCACACGAAGACGCGCTGCACGTGGGCCAAGGGGGTAGACCGGAAGGAGTGCTGAGGGGAGAGAGAGAGAGAGAGGGGGGGGGGTGGGGGCGGCGGGGGCAGGGCAGGAGGGAAGAGGCGGGCGGGCGGGCGGGCGGGCAGCGGAACAGGAGACGGCCTTGCGCGGGGGACATGTGCGTGCAGGAATGGATGGAAAAAAATGCACATATGTCTGGGGAGGCGCGGCAAAAGCACAGGCCCGGAGCCGGCGCCTCGGCCCGGCCTGGCCCGGCCGATCACAGTCCCCTGGGCCTGGCACTCGACAGGGAGATCAAAACAAACTAGACGCCAGAGGAGCAAGCATGCCCTTGTGGCTTGCGGCGAGATCTCCCCCACTCGCGCCCATGTTCCGAGACAGAGAGAGAGAGAGAGAGAGAGAGAGAGGGAGAGAGAGGGAGAGAGAGACCTCCAGCAGCCTGGGCGCGCACGCTGTTGGCCCCTTCTCAACCGCTTGACACATCCGGCAAGGGGGCCCCTGGGGCCCACCGAAGGGGGGGGGGGGCCTGGACATGCTACTCACCGGGAGCACGGGCATGCAAGCGAGAGGAAGGCTCCCGGGCGGCATCATGCCACCGTCCTTCAAACTACCGGGGGCGCCAGGACGGATGGACGGGAGATTGGCCGCGGAAAAGGCACCAGCACCGCACCCCCCTTCAGGCGGTGAGGTTTTCACATTGCCCGCCCTGCGGGCCACATTTCCGAGCCCCCTGCCGCAACAGATGGGGAGAGTTGGTCTGTGTGAGCATGTGACCGTACACGTTACTTCGCCCCTGGGTGCTGACCAGTTGTGGGGGAGGCGGACTCCCCCGCCAGGCCTGACAGCTGTCTGGCCTGGCGCGATCCGCCGCCGAAACCAGCCCGGCCTCCTGGGTGGTTGCCGGGGCCGGGCGCCGATGAGGGCGCGGAGCCCATGCGTGCCATGGCGACCGAGATGGCAATCGCCATGAGGGCCTGGGCCCTGAGCAAGGTGCCAAAGATGGCCCCAGTTAACAGAGCTGCCAAGCGGGCGGAGAGGGCGCCCAGGGTCGGGGGGGGGGGGGGGGGGGG